TCTTCGGTAATGTGGGGAAAGGGGGGGGGGGGTGGAGGAGAATAAAAAAAAAAGGGGGAGGGGGGGGGGGCTTTTTTCTCGTTTAACAAGCTCATAGGAAGGGGCGGCGGTTAAATTGAGACTGTGTTTTGTTGCTGGGCTTTAAAATGATGCCCCTTAAATGTTCAAACTGAATTTAATTTCGCTGCGGATGTCCCCTCTCCCTTACAGTGCCGCCTGATGCGCCCGTATCTTTGAATCATAGCACGGTATGGCGATGAGCACAACAACCGTAAATTCCCCTGGGGCCGGTGACTGAAATCCCCAAACCACTAACTACATTTGATTTTTTAAACCTGGGGTAAAGAAACAAATTAAAGATTACATTCCATCTATCTTCTTTTACCCCACCAGGACATTACACAAGTGATAAACACCCGATGACACAAAGTGCCATCATAAGGATAAGGATTACACGTGGAGAGGTCCCAGAAACCGCGTTCAGCCATTAGACCGTAATTATGGCCAGCCTATATTGCGGCCCCTGGCAAGAGCCATAGTAGGGCTTCAAAAAATAAAAAATTGCAATCATCAAAGGGATAACTAGAGATTAATTACATTCCAATGCGATACTGGGAATTAGAATTAAACATTCATAAAAAACCTTTGAATACACGAATTCAGAATACAACAAACTTGTTAGATGTGTTGAAGATCTGCTTATTAATTCATTAGTTAGTATTAGTATAGTTAGCTAGTTGACATATTATCATCACTGCATATTGAAAAACGATTCCTATCTTTGAAAAGCCGAACATGATGGGATAATGGTGGGTGGGGGTTACGAACTTAAAAATCAGGTGTTATGTCGATAATAAAGGCCAACTTAGCTTCAAAGAACCTATCAGCAATTGAAAATCAATCAGTTTGTCACCTTCGGGCAGCTAAAAAAAAAAAAAATTACCCTACCAACCATCATAAGTTTCAAAAGAATACCAGTCCGGACGGGAAACGAACAAACAAGGCAGATCGCAGATACCCAGTTGAGCCTCTAAAGAAATGATAATTAGGCCATTGTAATGGCGACACCAGACAGAGGTAATATGCAATTTTATTTGTTCACTTCACAAGGTTATCTTTCCCTCTCTTACATAATATTATAAGTCTCCTCGAAATCCATACGGCTCGTTGGTCTAGGGGTATGATTCTCGCTTTGGGTGCGAGAGGTCCCGGGTTCAAATCCCGGACGAGCCCAATGTTTTTCTTGAAATTTTATTCTTCTAATGCAGAATTTGCATTATTATTGTTGTAATACCACGACTGGTATTACGTAATATCACGGCTGTTGAATTAAGAACCCTCACCTTAGCACTCGGAACACTCCCAATAGCGCTCCGTCCTCATCTTCAGCAGCAAGAGATGAGTTCCAATAACGAGCCCAGGTTACATCAGTCTTGTCTTTCCATTAAAGAAAGAAATAAACCTGAACGAAAGAGCTTCACAATATACCATACACAAACAAAACGTGAAAGTTGCGGCAATAGAGCCTTCATCAGCACATACACAAATTAGACAATACTACACAAATACACAATGTCACTTATAATCGTATCTCGAAGCAGCCAGGTTGATGTCTTGCCTTTCTATTGAGTGTTGAAGTGCCGTGCCTTTCCCTTAAGTGTTGAGCGTCGGTCAGATCCCTTTATAGCTCCTGGCAGCCCCATTCACCTCAAAATGTGATGATTTCACTGTCCTTACAACATCTAGCTTGTCATACACCAATTCACCACCAACTGTTGTAGAACCAGCTAGCCTACCTGCTTGTTCGTTTCCCAACACATTGCCATAACCAAGATAAAATATTCAACTTACGCTAACTTCATAGGACCTCTGAAGCAATGACTGTCAGTGTGAATGGAGCATGCCTGTCCGCAACTTTCTCTATATGCTCTGTTAGTCAGTTAGTCAGAAAGAGCTATAGAAGTAAAGACTGATTTGTACTTATGCTTCATAGACTATACAAAAGCATTTGACTGTGTGAAGCATTAAGAAGTAATCAAAAAGTTCAATCAATCAATCAGGTGCCGTCTCCACAATGAAGGATGGCTGCAATGGATCTCCAACAAGCCCTGTCTCTTGCCCTTGATGTACACTCACTCATACTGCTGTTCGTCCATCTCTTGATGTTATCCTCCCACTTGTAACGCTGTCTGCCTTTTGCACGCCTACCTTGAACCTTTCCCTCTAGGATGATCTTTACAATACTGTTATGTCTTTTAATGTGGCCAAAATATTTCACTTGTCTCTTTTTTATTTCACCTAGCAACTCTCTTTTCATTCCCAATTTCCCCAGTACCTCTGTATTTGATAGCTTTTGTTTCCATGAAATACGACCTAATCTTCTGTATATCCACATCTCAAAAGAATTGATACAATTTTCCAGTTGTTTGTTCATTGTCCATGCATCTGTGCCATATAGTAAGGTTGAGAATACATAACATTTGACAATTCTCATTTTTAATGTTTTGCTTATTTCTCTTGATGTCAGAAACTGTTGCATGTTGTTGAAAATGTTTTTGGCCATCCCTATTCTTTTCTTGACTTCTGTTTCACTTCTGCCGTCACATGTTATTACTTGCTCAAGATATAAGAAATTTTTAACTTGTTCCAATTTCACCCCATTCACTGTGATATTCAATCAAACTGTTAAAAAAATTAAACATTGATGGGAAAGATATACGAATAATAACTAATATTATTGGCAGCAAACAGCAGCTATAAGAAGTAACAACTGTTTAGGTAAATTTCAAAGCATAAAGAGAAGCGTACGATGTGTACTGTCACCTGATTTGTTTTCAATATATAATGAATATGTAATGAGATCTTTAATTTGTATGCCCGGAATTGTGGTTGGTGGGCACAATATAAACAGTTTACGTTATGCTGATGACACAGTCTTGATAGCAACGGGTCAGAAAGAACTACAGGAAATGATAGACATTGTGGTGTTAGAAAGTGGAAGAATGGGCCTCAGTTTGAATAATGGGAAGACAGAAGTAGTGGTGGTATCTAAGAAACGAATTATTCCTAAATGTGTAATAAAAGTTGATGGGGTTATTTAAGAACAAGTACAGAAATTTAAGTATCTGGGTCCATGGTTAACATCAGATGAAGATGCATAACTGAGATAAGAAACAGATTAGGACAAGCAAAAACTGCATTATATAAAATGAAAAACATCTTGTGCAATATATCCTTGTCATTGAGAGTTAGAAAAAGAATTCTTGCTTGCTACATACATCCAGTTTTAACATATGGCTGTGAATCCTGGACTATCGGTAGGCAGGCCAAACAATTTCTAGAGGCCTCAGAGATGTGGTTTTACAGAAGAATGCTTAGAATACTTTGGACAGCCAAAAAGAGCAACCAAGCAGGGTTGCCAGTTAAAAAATTAATTTTATGCCAAACCATTGCCAAAAATATGCCAGAAAATGCTTCACATCAAAAGCTATAGATTGAATTCTTCACTGTCATCCTCACTGGAACAAGTGGAAGACACAAAGTAAACCTTTTCGGATGTAAAATCTTTTAAGTATTTTCTCAGATGGGATGAAATCTTTGCAACTCATCTATAATGATGGCATATTTCTTGTTCCGAAAATTACCAATAAGGTCACTCTAATTATTGCTAAGGGAAATAGCCTGCTAAACTGTGAATACTTTAGTCTATGGAATTGTCAGCCTGCTTTTCAATTTAAATGTCAGATGCTTTTTAGTAATCAGTCGAACGCAAACATAAGTAACAGGATAGGGGTTTGTTGAAACAAATGAATCAAAACAGCAGAAATACTGGACATCTTTCCACAATGCATTGTACAAAAGATTCAGCATAATTTCCGCTACAAATAAGCAGATTTAGTCGTAACCAAACGGTCACAACCCGGCGATCCTGTCATATGTAAACCAGTTTCGTCCTTTTTAGGACGAAATTTTTTGTTATTTAAAGCCCCACCTGGCTTTTGCCAGGGGCCGCAATATAGGCAGGCCATAAATATGGCCAATTGTCTGAACGCGGTTTCTGGGACCTCTCCACAGCGATCCTCATCCACATGGTGGCACCTTGTGTCATTGGGTGTTTATCGCTTGTGTGATGTCCTAGTGGGGTAGAAAGTCAGTCAGTCAGTCACAACCCGGTTTACAAACAATTTATCGAGGGGATTTTGTGGCCAGCTGCTACACCACCTCTTAATGTTCTAAATATATAAACAGTTAGCGGATGTCCTAGAAACGCTAGTTCTTCTTCTTCTTCTTCTCCGATCCTTCTGTCAGAAAACTTATATCAGGAGGCCGGTAGCCTTTATGAAAGCTATCGTGCAATCCATATCCTCTCGTGTACCATACAGTTTTGTCTTCAGTGTGGTTGGAACAGGCCAGATTGCGTCTCTGTTGTCAGCATACAGTTGACAGTGTTGGAGCACATGCTCAGCATTTTCGGGTGCCACGCTGCAGAGACACGTCTCCGTATTTCCTACACCAAAAAATTTGAACATATGTTGACGAAATCTGTTGTGCCCTGTCCTTAGTCTGAATATAATACACTGTCCCTCTCTAGAGAGGCGATGAAGTGAGTCTTGGGGAGAAAATCTGGTGTGGGTATCCAGCCACCTTTCTTGGATACTAGCTTGTATTAGTGTTTTCATCTCTTGGTGGGTTAAGTCACTATTTGGTTGTACCATGTCACTGCCGCTTCTGGCCAATCTGTCCGCTATTTCATTGCCTTCCAAGCCACAGTGACCTGGAATCCACTGCAGTACAGATTGTTCTACTGAAGAGGAAACGCTTGTTGATAAATACTTCTTGCTATGTAGCATTTTTGTGTAGTTTGAAAAGGCTGCCCAGCCGAAACGTTACGTTATTTGTGTTGTTTTGTGCACGTTTTTCTGCTTCCCCATTTTGTAGAGCTTTTTAGTCAAATTTCTCTTGAATTCTGTATAGCATAGGAAGTCACGTCTACCCACAACCCTCTGTTTCGTGTACTTTCAATCAATGATGGGACAGTGATATTCCATGCCATACTTTTTAACTGTCCAAAATCTTCTCCTTCAACCTCCCTCTACCTCTCCACTAACTTACGCACTGTCACGATGCACTCTAGTTTTCTTCTTATGACATGACCGAAGAGTGTAGATTGTCTCCTTCTGATGTGGGCAATCAGTTCATCATCATGAATCAGTTTCTTTCAAGACATCGCGTTAAGTGCAGGCGATATAATATTTTTTTAATTAGGCATGAACATTTAGTTATATGCAACTTTATGTGCTCTAATGTACTCCTTGACCATGCGCTCTTATGATTTTACTTAGATGATCAATTGTGCGTACTGAACAATGGCAGGTCATGCCTACAGCAAGTTGTAACTCTGCTGCCTTTAACTTTATCATTACTTTGCCTAGGATAGGAGTCATTGTTGTAATAAGCTGTGACTGGCTTTTTGACAGAGTTTTCATCCTGTGTTTTTCGGATTTTGCATGATTTGATATGCTACTAATTCTTGGTGCAACAGTGCACTGATACAGTTTACAATATTACTTACTTACTTACTTAGTCGCTCCTCTTCTACCTTGGGGTGTAGAGGTTTGCCAGAGAGATCGCCAGACGTCTCTATCAGCAGTTTTCTTTCTGGCTTTGTTCCATTCCAGTCCTCTGTCAGTCAGGGACTGTCGGATGTTGTCTTCCCAGCGCACCCTGGGTCGTCCCGGAGGTCTGGTTCCCTGGTTCTTAGCCTCCCATGCTTGCCATGGTGGCCGATTTTCTCCCATTCTGCACACATGTCCAAACCATCGTAACTGTGACTGATCCACTCGGGTTAGTAAGGGCTGGGTATCAAGATCTTGACGTATTGTCTGATTGCGGACTTTGTCCCTTCTTGTCACTTGGACCACCTTTCTCAGGTATCTCATTTCCGAGGCCTGCAGCTGGCTTCTGTGAGCTGTTGTCATTGCCCATGACTCACACCCATAGGTCAGGACTGGTACATAGGTAGAGCGGTAAACAGCCATTTTCGTCCTCTTGCCAATTTCTCTTTTGCTAAGAAACCCTCGGTTTTATGGCCTGGAAGAGTCTCCCAGCAGCTGCTTTTCGTGTAGCCAGCTCAGTCTTAATGCCTCCATTTTGGTCTAATACAACTCCAAGGTATTTGAACTGGTTAACCTGCTCCAACGCATACTGACCCATCATGATCTGGTGTTTCTTCTCCTCTCTTGAGATCACCATGGTTTTAGTTTTGGAGACACTGATGGTCATCCCTTTCTTTTCAAGCTCTTCCTTCCAGACAAGTAAGTTGTACTGAAGGTGTGCCTCTGATTTAGCTATCAGGGCCACATCGTCTGCAAAAGCCAGCTCTGATATACAGATTGGTCTCATCTTCCAGTACCCTACAGAGTACTTCTTTGTCTTCTCCTTACAGGTCTTGATGACATCATCCATCATAAGAATGAAGAGGTAAGGTGAGAGAATATCACCTTGTCTAACACCGCTGGTGGTCTTAAATTCTTCTGACTTTTGGTCTGCTGTTCTTACATAATTTCTGCACTTTTTGTAGAAACTCTGTATTGCACTGATCAGGGGTGCTGGGATGTTTTTCCCTGCCAAGCAGTCCCAGAGCTTGTTCCAGGGTACCTTGTCAAATGCCTTTTCCAGATCCAAAAAACATAAGTGAATCTCACTCTTATATTCCAGGGCTTTTTCACTCATCTGTCTCAGTGTGAAGATAAGGTCTTGAGTACTTCGGTTTGCTCTGAAGCCGCACTGGGCCTCGTCCAGCTGTGGCTCTACCAGACTTCTAAGTCTCTGCTCAAGAATTCTAGAGTAACTTTTACCGGGGATGCTGAGGAGGGATATGCCTCTGTGGTTTTCACATTGTCTGTTATCACCTTTTTTAAATATAGGTATAATTATGGCAATCTCCCAATCTTTGGTATAGTTTTGCTACACCAGGCTGCCTGGAGAACCTTCAGTAGAAGGCGCTCACCTTCGACTCCCATATATTTGACCATCTCTGGTGTTATACCATCATGACCTGCTGCTTTTCCCAGCTTAATCTTCTCAATAGCTGCCTTCAATTCTTCCATCCTGATGTTATCTTCCACATGATTGAATTCCTTCTCAGCAGTGAGGTCCATTATTTCTGGGTCATGACTTCCCTCAGCGCCGAGGAGCTCTGAGAAGTATTCTTTCCATCTGCCCATGATATCATTTGTAGAAGTAAGCAGAGCCCCTTCCTTGTCTTTTATGAATTTAAGTGGCACTCTTTCTCCTTCCTCATGTTCTTAAGGGTCTTGTAGAACAGTTTTTGGTTTTCTCTTGCATTCTTTTCCAACTTTTCTCCAAACTCTTCCCATGATTTCTGTTTTGCTTTAAGCACAATATTTTTGGTCTCTGTTCTGAGTGCCACATATTGTTTATATTTTTCTATTTCTTCAGCTGTGTTCCTGGCTGCCAGGTATTGCTTCCATGCCCTTTTCTTTTCTCCTATTTTCAATTTGACTTCTTCTGTCCACCAAGGTGTCCTGTGTCCCCGCCTTCCACTTGGGACTTCACCACATGCTTCTACTGCAGCTGCTGTGAGGATATTCTTGAATCTGCACCAGAGGGTTTCAGTGTCCTCTGATGGTTCTTCTTCAGTTCCTATTGCTTTCACTATAAGCTCCTGGTATCTAGCCTTAATATCTGGCTCTCTTAGCTTGTATGCTTTAATCCTCATCCCTTCTTGGTTGCTTTGTTTCTTGCATAGTTGTCGGTGTTGCCTTGTTGGAGCAGTTCTTTCAGTTTGTTCTCTTTATTGTGACCAGATAGTGGTCACTTCCAATCTCTGGTCCTCTCATGACTCTGGCATCTATCACAAACTTGAATGAACTTTTCCTAACTATGGCGTAGTCAATGATGGATTTTTCATTCTTTGAAGGTTCACATCTTGTGTATGCATGTATACGCTTGTGGGGGAATTTCGTGTTTGTAATGACAAGGTTCTGTTCCCTGCAGAATCTGAGAAGTCGCTTGCCATTATCATTCAAAACATCTTCACCATATCTCCCGATCACTCCACCCCATCTAGAGTGATCATTTCCTACTCTGGCATTTAGATCTCCTAGGAGGATAATTTCATCGTGACAGTCATCTATGGTCTTTTGGAGCAGTTCAAAGAATTCTTCTTTAACATCTACTCGCTCATCTTCATTTGGCCCGTACACAATGACAAAATTGACAATTTTTATCTTCTTCTTTCAGATCTAACACCATTATTCGCTCTGAGATGAATTTCCATCCTTTGATGTTACTAACTTGATTCCTGGCCACAATACAGCCAACACCTCCCTTGGCTCTCTCCGTCATAGGGACACCACTGTAGAGCAGCATACTTCCATCGTGATCTGTGATTCCTTGCCCCTTTTTCTTTGTTTTCAGTCAGAGCCAAGACTCCTAATTTTGCTTTCCTCATCTCCCCTACTAACTCGTTTTCCTTTCCGTTAATGCCTCTTATATTCCATGTTCCATAAATCGTAGTCCGTAAGCCATGCCAGTTCGTCGCCGTTAAGATCCGTCCGGTTTTCTCTCTGTAGTTACTTGTAATCGTGGTTTAAGGCAAACAGGTGATTGGCCTGTTGTGCCTTTGCATGGTGGAGGGGCTGCCTCCTTGCGGCCTCCATGCAGGCCGTCTGGCTGATTCACGGTTACCCACTACTTCCGGAGACGCATGAAGCACTCAGGTTCAGCCAGACCCTCCTCCTTTTACAGCCGGGCTTGGGACCGGTCTTAGCGGAGTTCAGTTTACAATATGCTGCCTCTAATCCGTCTGAAGATTTTTTGAACCGTGGGTATGTTTTCTTCCAGTTACTATTATATTTGAATGTGATAAGATGCTATCCATTTTTTGTGGATGACGTGGCCATTGGTAAAAGTAATAATATCTATAATTGATAGAACGAGGTTTATATCCTCTCTATTTTCTGTCCTCGAGTAGTTTCGGAACAGTCTGAATCACTTGGTATCAGTGGTGGGTTTTGGTTTTATATCCCGCATTTATTCTAGTAGCCATAAATTATAGAGGGCCTTGGTTTATCGAAGTCACGATCCGTTTAGAAAGACAATAAATACAATAAGAAATGGCGCGAATCTCCGTTAGTCCGTACCAGGACATCACAACAAAGTCAAACTGAAATGAAGATGTTAACTGTAGATCTAAATTGCTTTTAGCAAATCTACGTGTTTCTAACGGAGGAACCATGAAGCAAATGTGAGCACATCTTGATAAGAAAAGCCAGGGAAAACCCAAATATGCCAAAATATATCAGTTCATTATCTTATGCCTAAACACACAAAACTCAAGATCTTCAATTCTTGTGTGATTCCAGTACTAACCTATGGATGCGAGAGCTGGAAATCAACGAAAACTCTAGACACAAAATTAGACAGTTTTGAAAATAAATGCCTTAGAAGAATACTAAATTTCAAATGGTCAGATTTCCGAACCAATACACAAATAAGGCAAGAATCCAGGCAAGAGTATGTGTCTAATTTTATACGAAAACGCCGCTGGAACTATGTCGGCCACGCACTTATAATGGATAAATCAAGACTTCCTTATCAAGCCCTCATTTGGACACCACAGGGGAAAAGATCTCGTGGAAGACCAAGGGAAACTCTAGGTAGAACTATCACCAGGGAAGGCTCGCTCATGGGCCACTCAAACATCCAAGACCTACAACAGATTGCAACGAACTGCCATGCATGGATAGTCATGACCTCTGCCCTATGTGCCGCACTCGACACAAGAGGAAAGACTAACTAACTAATCTTATGCCAGTTCAATTTCAAATATGCCAAATTTGTGGAATCTGGCATAAAAAAAATGCCAATATCTCAACCCTGCAACCAAGAGGTTTTGAAAGAGGCGGGAGCCTGGAGACAACTTTTCACAGACATCAGAAGGAGACAGTCATCATTTTTCGGCCATGTTATGAGAAGAGGGAAAATAGAACATGTTGTGACCACTGGAAAGATCTGTGGAAGGAGGGATAGAGGAAGACAACGAGAGAAGATGCTTGACAGTCTTGTTGCATGGCATGGAAGTGTGTCGGCACACGAACTGATACATGCTGCAGGAGATCGCAGATTATGGAGAGGCATGATCGCCCACGCCAGTCGGCAAGACAACTGATGATGATGATGAGTCAGATTCAATTACGACTTGTGTGTACAGCTGGTTTTCAAGCCACAGACATAAAGCCAGCGGGAAGTAAACGTTATCTAATCACAGTCACGTTGACATATTGATGCTGCGGTGACTAGTCTAAATAGCAGAACAACGAGAGACAAATAAAAAAATGTCCATCTCGTTTTTCCTTTCCACACTCGTCGAGCCAAATTTAGTGAGTATCTGTTATTGATTCATTTCTTGCTATCAGGTAGATGTTTTTAGATATTTCTGGCTATCAGGTAGATGTTTTTAGATATTTCTTGCTATCAGCATCACAATAGCAAGCCATATGTTCAAAACTACGACGAAGAGTAACGTGATAGTTATATTTTTAGGGGGAAAAAAATTTGGGCTCGTCCGGGATTTGAACCCGGGACCTCTCGCACCCAAAGCGAGAATCATACCCCTAGACCAACGAGCCATATGAAATAGGAATCTCATTTAAGTATATAACTAACAGTTATTGTAAAAACTAACTTTCCTGTTACCAATTGAATTGTGCAAGTAATTGCTTTAAGATAGTGAAATTGCTTTAACTTACACATTTATTAAACTTTTTTGACAAAATAAATTTACCGTAAAAGAATTCACATTCGTCAAAGTTTCGTTATGGAACAACTTCCGCTGCTAACGTAAACAATCGCAAACCGCCAGTGGTGTCCACAGCTGCTGCCCGTTGTTGGTAACGAGATTCCTTTTTGTAAAGCAGAGACTAAGAGTCTCACTAGCACCATGAACCTCACGGACATTACCGGCAATCCCATAACAGATAACCGCAAGGGTTCTCTGACACTGCGAGCGACTCATTCAAACTATTCGCGAGCAGTTTTGAACGGGGAATGGTAAGAATTAGTCAACCACTTAACTATACACTATACTATTATTAAGTCCTCGGCAACTGATATTCAGCATACAAACAGTTCTAAAAGAATTGTAGGGTGCTGCCTAATTTATTAGTAATGAGGATAATTTGTTTGTTCAATTTTTTTTTTCGGGACTCAATTACAGGATAAATTGAGTCTGATGATTATTAAAAAATAGGGAATTTTAAAGAAAGTATAAATCACAAGTGCTTCTAAATTTATTTTTTAAAACTAAATTAGGGAACTAGTTGTAATACTAAGGTTAGTTGCGTATCCTTTACAGGACGTTGCAGAACCAACCTCAGCAGCCCCTGGTGGTTGTGTGGTTTCTCTAGGCAAATTTAATTTGCGTCCAGTAGTTTGCCATTGCTTCCTGGACGGTCAGCCTCCTGATACCACTGTCGAAACCAACGCAAGGCGCATGGCCTGCAGCTGGGATCGAACCAGAGACCCCGGCATTATGAAGCGTTCTCATCAACTTAACTACAGAGCCGACAGTAGTATATATAGTAATACTTATTTTCTTATGTATGTGGGTGAAACCAAAATATGGAAGAGAGGAAAAAGAAGAAGAAAGGGATGGTAAGAAGCAGAAAAGGATGGTAAGAAAAAGAAAAGGATGATTAAGAAGAAAATGATGGTAAGAAGAAAAAAAAGGATGGTAAGAAGTAGAAAAGGATAGTAAGAAGAAGACAAGGATGGTAAGAAGAAGAAAAAGATGATAAGAAGAAGAAAAGGATGGTAAGAAGAAGAAAAGGATGATAAGAAGAAGAAAAGGATGATAAGAAGAAGAAAAGGATGATAAGAAGCAGAAAAGGATGGTAAGAAGAAGCAAAGGCTGATAAGAAGAAGAAAAGGATGGTAAGAAGAAGCAAAGGATGATAAGAAGCAGAAAAGGATGAAAGGAAGCAGAGAAGGATGACAAGAAGCAGAAAAGGATAGTAAGAAGAAGACAAGGATGGTAAGAAGAAGAAAAAGATGGTAAGAAGAAGAAAAGGATGATAAGAAGAAGAAAAGGATGGTAAGAAGAAGAAAAGGATGATAAGAAGAAGAAAAGGATGATAAGAAGAAGAAAAGGATGATAAGAAGAAGAAAAGGATGGTAAGAAGAAGAAAAGGATGATAAGAAGAAGAAAAGGATGATAAGAAGAAGAAAAGGATGATAAGAAGCAGAAAAGGATGGTAAGAAGAAGCAAAGGATGATAAGAAGAAGAAAAGGATGGTAAGAAGAAGCAAAGGATGATAAGAAGCAGAAAAGGATAGTAAGAAGAAGAAAAGGATGGTAAGAAGAAGAAAAGAATGGTAAGAAGAAGAAAAGGAAAGTAAGAAGTAGAAAAGGATGCTAAGAAGAAGAAAAGGATAGTAAGAAGAAGAAAAGGATAGTTAGAAGAAGAAAAGGATGGTAAGAAGAAGAAAAGGATAGTTAGAAGAAGAAAAGGATAGTTAAAAGAAGAAAAGGATGGTAAGAAGAAGAAAAGGATGGTAAGAAGAAGAAAAGGATGGTAAGAAGAAGAAAAGGATGGTAAGAAGAAGAAGGCTGTGAAAAAAGCGTGAGTAGTAGAAGGAGGATTTGAAGAGGCAAATATGAAGTAGAAGACAATGAAGATGAAGAAGCAAAATAAAGGCTGGGAAGAAGAAGCCCAAGCAGAAGAAAAGAAAAATAAGTTAAGGATTTATAATAATCATCCATAAATTGTCCCAACAGGCACCAGGCAAGACAAGCAGAGCCCAAGGATTATGATCTGAACAAAGATCCTGTCCGCTCAATGACCCTGTCCACCTACAATCGTATTGGAAACATCACTGATGGGGTAAGTTCTGGCTCTCACAGTATATTTTATAGCTGATATATTCCTGTTCATCTTTGATGTGAAAATATAGTTGATCCTTGTATGACACGGTTAAGTTATAGGACAACTGTTCTCAAACTGGGTGCCTCAAGTGTATGCCAGGGGTGCCGCTGCATTAATGAAGAATTTTTCACAATCTGCTTGAGATCACGAAGACAGCAGTTTAAAATAGAAATACCGTGAAGGAAGCCATGAAGAGTTCTGGATGCAAGTGTATTCAGTACACAATGCTATTGGCAAGGAATTCTCAACGTAAGCTTACATAAAAAACAGATAAAGGAGCAAACTTTCTGGGTCAAGTGATGTGAAGGTTAAATTAACTAAACTTACCGTTTACATAAAGGAAATAATGAAAAATTCATCCAAACAGTTTAATTCATCACATTAAAGACAACTGAACATTAAATGTGCACTGTTTTTTTTTTTCTTTCTTAAGTATTTAAACCGCTGTAAGGGTTAGGTGTGCTGCAAATTTTTTATTTGCCCGCCAAGGGTGCCGCGGTAAAAAAAAGGTTTGAGAACTGCTGTTATAGGGTATAGTTTTAATGATATTGTGAACATCTAGATCGGGGCTATTTAACTAGCGGCCTGCGGGCCAGATCTAGCCCGCGAAGGCCTAGCAAGTGGCATGCCGATCACTGCCAGTTGTATTGTTTAAATGATCTTTCTGTGCTGGGGATCAGACCTCTAGCCCGAGACGATCCTTATTTTTTAAAATTTTGACCCTTGAGTAACCTTAGATGAATAGTCCCAGTTCTAGATTATACTGGTATATAGGCAGTGTAATAGATTATACTGGTATTACGTGTGGGAACATATACAACATATTTTTTATATGTGTAGTAAATGGGGAGCATATAGATTATACATTTTTATATGGTGAACATATAGATATACTGGTAGTACATGGTGAAAATAAAAATCATCCTGTTAGACAAGCCTTTTTTTCTGGCAGTTTGCAACGGTATACAACACCAGCACCTTTTTTTTTTAATGCGCTGTTTTAGTAAACATCTGTTGCTAGACGTTGCGAACATGCTTCATAATTCTGAGGTGCCTGATTAGATCCTAGCAACATCGGAGTGACGTAAATGCGCTTTGCCTGAACTGCAAAGTTGAAATATTTGTGCCTTTCAGCAGACACCATTGAGCATTTATTTACCGGGTTACCTTCTCGGATCACAGTAAGTGATTTGACAACAGACCGCTTTGTGCTGGTTTCAACAGTGATACTGGGAGCCAACCGTTCAGTAAGCAATGGCAAACTTCTGAATGTAAAATAGTGAAATTGCAAACAGCTAAAAAATGCTGGGTTGATTCTGTTGTGACCTGTAAAGATACACAAGTTGCTTATTTAAAAAAAAAATACTTTGTGGTGAATACTGGCACCTTTGTTAACCATTTTTTTTAGTGAATATTGGCATCTTTGTTAACCATTTTTTTTAGTGAATATTGGCATCTTTGTTAACCATTATGTGGTGAATATTAGCACCTTTGTTAACCACTTTGTAGTGAATACCGGCACCTTTGTTAACCACTTTGTAGTGAATACCAGCACCTTTGTTATCCACTTTGTGGTGATTCCTGGCACCTTTATTAACCACTCTGTGGTGAATACCGGCACCTGTGTTAACCACTTTGTGGTGAAACCAACATCTGTGTTAACCACTTTGTAGAAAATACCGGCACCTTTATTAACCACTTTGTGGTGAATACCAACATCTGTGTTAACCACTTTAAAGAGAATACCGGCACCTTTTTTAACCACTTTGTGGTGAATACCAACATCTGTGTTAACCACTTTGTAGAGAATACCAGCACCTTTGTTAACCACTTTGTGGTGAATACCAACATCTGTGTTAACCACTTTGTAGAGAATACTGGCACCTTTGTTATCCACTTTGTGGTGAATACCAACATCTGTGTTAACCACTTTGCAGAGAATACTGGCATCTTTGTTAGACACTTTATGGAGAGTACAGGCACTTTTTTCAACATTAGAAAAAAGCCCTGCCGATAGTATATGATGAATGTATAGATGATACTTTGAGGATACTGTGAATGTATAGTTCATTCCGGTAAAATATATAAATATACATAGTGAGTGTGTACATTAGGATATAATGATGAAACAGGCAGATTTCTCATGTGGGTTCGGAGGTCCCATTGTGGGGAGAACAAGAAAAGACTTACTGCTGCCCGGACAAGCATGTCATAAGAGATGACTAACTAGGGGCTTCTTCGAAGCCGGAGTGCATCTGCCTGAGAGGCAAGAAACCAACAGTCTGCATACAATAAGTCAGATCTGTAAAATGGATGTGTACACAGCACTCAGATTCTGGAACAGGACTAAAGTCTAGACTTGGATGAACAGCCAGAACTTTCTGCTAGAGTTTACAGCTGGTGAACGTGAAAAAGAAGAAACATACTAGTATAACCTTATATGGTGAGTATATATACACCATACTGGTAGTACTGTACTTGGTAAATATATAGATTATACTATTTTTATTGTAAATCACAAAAATATATACACACACACACACACATTGAAACTGCAATATTCGTCCATACTAATATTAATCTTTTTTTTGACATTAGTCCTGTTTTTCATTGAAATGTTTGCTTGATGTTTGCCCAAAAAGTCAATACTCATCCTTCCTCTGATGTAGCCGGCAAGTCATCAGATGAGAACAAAGAGAATATTAGGCCAGTTCCAAGTGCTGAAATTAAGGAATGGCTGTCCACTTGGGCAAAAATACAGGTTTTCACCGATGACTGGTATCTAAATATGAACATAACTTAAGTTAATCAGCCTATCAGGTCATTTGATGATGATGATGTGCTTGGACACTTTTGGAACATTAAAAAAAAAAACAGAACAAAACAAACAACACTGGATAACGAATATATGAATTCCATTGTATGCATTTGTATGTGTGTGTGTGTGTGTAAAAAAAATATTCATAGTACACAGTAATTATAATAGTAGTATATGTTGAGTATATAGATCATTGTTTGGCACATACTAAGATAATTTCTTCCAACAGACACTTCCAAAAACCACATACCAGGAGCAGGCCAGTCAGATCTTGCTGAGGCCAATGTTTTCCTTCCGTGACATCCACAGGAGTTTGGTGCAGCCAGAAACAGTAGCTGCTGCAAATGCAGGCATAGACAGGTAAGTCTGGTGAATTCAGGTTTCCCACTGGAAGGGGGTGGGGGAGGGGTGGGGATTATGACCTACTGCCCCTTAACTCCTTTAGTCCCTAGGAACGCATCATGTGTTTTTATGGTTCTACCTTGAAGCCCAATGAAAGCAAGATACATTGATTATAAATTGTTCTGTATCAATCAAGTGTTCTGGGCTAAAAGATGGGCTCAGTTTTAGGGGAACAAAAAATAGACCCACTAACCCTTAACAAGCATGTGGTAAAAGAAGAATAATTAATGATTTGCTGAACTGGATGTGCTAGGCTAAAAGTTGCAGATATCACAGATCGGCTGTAAACAACAGATGTACCAACTACCTTTTTTAAAAGTGAACACAGAAGGAGAAGAAGCACATATACTGCATCCTAGCTGTAAACCACAACACCATAGCATGTCAACCATTCTTTAAACTGCAAATGCAGAAGTAGAAGAAGAAAGGCAAATTTTCTTTGGAAGTTAGTGGTCTGATATATATGGACTATATATAACCAGCCTCATGAAATACTTTTGACCTTACATTTTTTAAATGTATTTAATACCTAAAAATTTTCAGTCCACTGTTCGCACCTGTTTATTCTCTCAGAGATACTGGCGATCCAAAAGGTGCCTATGGTTCGGTGTTACCATTCCCCAGTGCTGATGGCAACACACCTCAGCTGGAAACCACCTACACTGCAGACTACATTCCCCCTTATCCATTTACACGTCGGGATGATACAAATAACTATGAGGTAAGGCTAACAGAGGCTTAAAATTATCAAGTGCTTCTTTTACTTCTTCATTTCCTTTTCAAAGCAAGTACTTCAAAGCTTGTGTAAGGATCTTGATGAGGGTTAAATCCCTAACTAAATATATATATAGAGCCAATATTGCACATCAGAATGTTTTGACCCGAATGATGAAAATGAGTTGCGCGGGAAGCTTTTGAGGATGAACTGAGGAGAATGGACAACCAACATGATGGCCGACTGTTATTAACCGGGAATCTGAGAAAAGATAGAAGGTGCTACTGCTGGTCTCTGACTGCAAATTTGTATTAATGTGGTAATAAATTTTAGGTGAAGCAATTGTGTGTCGATGTGCCCTGCAAGTACAGAGTGTTGTGAAACCGTGTCGGAAATAAACGGGCCCAACAACAACCTCAGTTTAGCTGAGGGTCATGACACCATGTCATATCTTGCACTGATGGTGAAGAGATGGGGGAAATAAATCGCCTGGATATATAAACATGTAGTGAAGGACTAAAGCTTGCTGGGTACTAAGGAACACACCATTTGTAGATTTATAATCAACGATGCTCTTCTTAAGTACGTAAAAAGTTAAAAGTTCAAATTAATTATGATAACATAAGTAAGTAAAGGACGGTTGTCTACCATGCCCTCAGCCATATATGGCTAGATCTATATTTTAGACCAATCGACACTTGGTGGGTGATGTGTTCAACATCATGACAGCCACCTTTACTTCTCAGGACTCTGCCTGGTACCCATTTAAGGCTGGGTCAACCTAGGAGCTAAGGTCATTTTACAACAACAGCAAAATTTGTTTCATCAACACACGACCTTTAGATCTGCAGTGATCATCTAGCTGTTACACCAAAGCGGCTCTCCTTGATATCTATTTTCTGCAGCAGCAGCAGTAGTAGCAGCATTAGCAGTAGTTTATAGCAGCAGCAGTAGCAACAGTAGTAGTAGCAGCAGCAGTAGTAATAGTAGCAGTAGCATCAGTAGTAGTAGCAGCAGCATTAATAGTAGCAGCAGCAGCAGCAGTAGTAGTAGTAGTAGTGGCAGCAATAGCAGTACAAGAGTGTGTTTAAAAAATGAGGAGTATACTACTTGTATATTCCTGTTGATTCTGAAACATAGAGGACGTTGTGACAGTATCCAGAACAATTCTGAGAACCACTGACGTAATATACTAATAAGATAGTTTCTTCTTCTGATCATCTTCCAGTTACCTGTGTGAAGTGGTGGGAGATGTAAAGATGTTCTGTGTGCATGGTCTTTCCCTTGTTCTGTATTATATTTCTTTATCATGGCTGTCTGTGGTAGGTAGGTGGCAACAATGCATCCTTATCACAAGACCAAACCATTTCATCAATATTTGACTGATTCTGGTCCTAGTTCTTATTTTAATTTAAAGATTTTTATCTTGTTAGCGTTCACTGGCTGTAAACTCTGGCAGAAAGTTCTGGTTGTTCATCCACTGTTGGACTTTGATCTTGATCCACAGCTTGAGTTTTCCATGCACATCTGTTTTACAGATCTGGCTTATTTGTATGCAGACTGTTAGTTCCTTGTAACTCAAGCAGATGCACTCTCACTTTGAAGAAAACACCCCTAAAAAGTTGACTTTAAGGTTGTGCTAAGGAGTAGTGAGACTGTTCCTTTTTCCACATAAAATGCCATCCCGAAACCCACACAGGGAAATTTAAAGATAACAAATCTCAAATATTGTGTTTCTTTAAGGACTCCAAAGGTCTCGGTGAGAAGTCAGCTGCATTCAGAAAGATGAAGTCCCAGTTTACAGACACAGATGATTACAGACGTAATGGTTGGAACACCTGGCAGGATGAGAGTGGGATCTACACAAACTCCCAGTACAAGGTGCAGCTGTTCCCCAAAACAGAAACCATCCCAGGCAGGCCTATATCTAATTAACTAACTAGCTAGAAAATTAACTCTCCAGTGAGAGAATGAACTAAATATAGCCAGAAATTTAACTGTCCAGTGACAGAATTAACTATCTAGCTAGAAAATTAACTTATCAGGTTGGTCCTGTATCCATGTACATACAGTATAGTCTATACAGAAGCCTGGTAGATGTTTGTCTGTGGGTCCAGAAGGCAGATTTTTCTTTTTTCAAAATAGACCTTGGCTCCCAGGTTGACCCAGCCTAAAATGGGTGTCAGGAAATGTCCTTGGAAGTAAAGGTGGCTAGTATGATGCTGATCATATTACTCACTGAGTAATGAAAATGTTCCTTTACAATTTTAAAAAAAAAAAACTTTATATGTCGCATATAATTTCAAAAGAGTGAGTGAACTTTTATGTGAAAATACTTATAAATGTATGTTAGTTTTTCATATAACAGTTTACAAATAAATATCATTGCAACTATTTTACTGTTATGTCACATATAATTTCAAAAGAGTGAGTGAACTTTTATATTAAAATACTTATTAAATGTATGTTAGTTTTTCATATAACAGTTTACAAATAAATATCATTGCAACTATTTTACTGTTCCTTTGTTCTTGATCGGTGTATTCCAGTTGTCCTTGTTGACTTTGTTTTTGACTGATTTTATTTTAAGCTCATGGTTATTTACAATGGAGCTGCCATGGTGTAGTGGCTAGATGCTCACCATCTCTGCTTGACCTAAAAAAAATCTTAGGAATAGAACTAAACAGTAATCTTCAAAATAAACTAGGTATAACATTTCAGTACGAATTTAACACTAAATTTATTAATTTATGCCAAAATTATAATTTTTTAAGTAGGTCTTTTATTTAAGATTTGAGGAAAGAAAGTCTGATGCAGTCCAAGGGTGGGTGTGGAAGAATTTCAATGCTGAAATCCTTGGCCGTTAGCGTCATGAGAGGGTTTGTTGTCTTGAAGCAAAGGAAGATTCTGAGTGCATGCTAAATCTTATGTTCTGGTCAGAGGATTGTTGTCTTTTAGTTTCTTCTTCTTCTTCTTCTGCTTTTCTATCCCCCAATGGAGCATAGGCCCTCAACCAACTCACGCCAAGTCGTTCTATCCTTCGCCATTGCATGGAGCTCTCCCCATCTTTTTAACTTCATTCTCCAGCTCTCTTCTCCATGTGTTTTTTGGCCTTCCTTTATTCCTATGCCCCTGTGGTGTCTTTTAGTTTAGTAAGGAAATATTCACAGTACCCCGCATCTTTCACGCCCCACCCCCATTCCTTCTTTCTTGCCCTCTCTTCTCTACACATTAGCTTCAATGAAACAACACCCAATTCACAGCTGACAAAAATAATACAAAGTGAAGTTATATTAAAGAGTATTTATTGCTGCCATATTTAAGCACACAAAGATGTTTCTATATTTCAGCTTTGTTAACTAAAAGTTTTTGTACTAGGGAACCTATTTCTGATGAGAAAATTTGAAGACCAAACAAACAATAGGTGAAATCATAATTTTCATTTGTAGTGTTTTTTATAAATAAACACTTATGTCTAAATGTCAGAAGTCTGTAATGATCAAATATTCAATAGTAAAAATCACTACCACAAAAACCATACATGACAAATGTCAGAAATCTGTAACGTTCAGTCACTACCACATAAAACACCAATGACAAATGCCAGAAGTGTGAAATGTTTACTACTGCATAAAGCACATATGACAATTGTCAGATATCTGAAATGTTAAAAATATTTAGTAGTAATGTTCCCTTACTACCACAAAAAATAACTATGACAAATGTCAGAAATTGCGACCAGGCCGCTCACTGGCTCACCAGTAGACGACTTCGACGCCAGTCAGGACAGTATTTGGGTCTGTTTCTTTTTATGTCATCAACAACAGCTGCTGTAAGATTTCTAAGCCATTTTATATAGTGCATATAACCTAGCCACAATTATAACCTAAAACATTGGTTCAACATGATGATTTTTTCCTCAGCAAAGCACCAAAAACAGTCAGAAGTCAGAAATGATCAGAGTAGTATTTCTTTTAAAGCTTTTTAAAAAAAATATATAAAACCTTACCTAAATAATATGAGACAGTATTGATAGCACTGAGTGTCATATAAACACTAACATTAATATATAAAATTATTCTAACACAACCAGAATGATTTCTTGTTAAGATAAACATCCATAGAAAACACTTATGTCCAATTAGTAGTGGATGATGAAATCAATTGACAATCAACTAATTTTCTATCAAGTAAAAATACTTCTGTTTAAATATTACACATAAAATAATCAGGTATTTGGCAAGGTTCAGTTTCCATAACAATAAAATACAACGATCCCTTCAGCATAGCCATGTGGCCGTCATTAAGTAGAGATGTATTTTAGTACTATTATTGCTAGTTTTAATAGTATTTTTTCACCTATTTCTAGTAATAATAAAAAATGTCTTCTAATACAAAAGTATATTTTGTGTGCAACTGTTTGTAAATAACGCTTTGGTGACTGACTCTGGTCTTGACCCCCACACCCATATCCAACATAGAGTACAACAGCTGAGGGTACATTAAATATGAAAGCAATAAACAAAAGGAAGAAAAGCCTACTTCTGACAGACACTAGTGTAAACATCCAGTGGCATGTAAAATGTTTACTAATATTAATTACTTTTACCCTGTATTTTAATTTGTTAAATAATGGATATTGTTTCACTGATGCAAATAAATTCTCTATAATTTATTATTCACCATCAAATTATGATGCTAGTTTCCAGAAGTTTCCCAGAAAGTTCTGTCTTTTTCAGGATATTGGATTCTTTTATTTCTGTTAACATTTTAGACAGGGATACAAGATTCTTTCACTTTTCCCAAAGTCCCACTAACAAATCAAACTATGTTAGAGATCTATTTATTCAAACCACAAAGAAACCTCATAGTAATAGTATATACTGTTTGTCTGTAAATAAAAAAAAAAACATGCCACGGACTGATTACCTGCAGACATTTTCTGTACATATTTTATTTACTTAAATGTATTTTATGGGATAAACTAAAATAAGAATCCTATTCTACTTGTGACAAACTGTCAGGGATCAGCAATATTTTCCAGTAAAAATATACGTGATGCATCCCATTTTTAAATTTATTTAAAAAAAAATGCCTCATTATAAATGTGAACCTTGGTAGCATAATGGCTAGCAGATCTGCCTCGTCAGCCTGGTGTCCATAGGTTCAAATCCCAAATTATGCTGAACTTTCACGTTGGTTCAGCCTGAAAAAAAAAAAACTGCCAGGAAATCTGCTGGGATATCACCTATTTGACCATCAAGTGGACTGTAAAAAATATTGAGCAAACATGTTTTTTTTAACCTAATAAGATTCAAGGTATAGAAGTGGATTCCCTTTTTTTTTTTAAATGTTCCTAAATGTTGTGCTGCCACGTTTATGAATAAATGAACCCTTTATTTGAAAGAGAGAAATACAGAAACAAAGAGCACAAGCTTCAGTATGGCTGTATAGAAAACAAGTATTTTTAACCGTAAACGTTACAATAATACTGAGTTTTGAAGTGAGTTTTATCCAGTGTAAGAAACTACTGATCGAGATGTCAGCAAGAATTATTAAACAGCTGTGGTAATTTGCTGTGATGAAATCAATAAAGATCACCACTGGCAGAAGCAGTCGAATGAAACAAGTGACTAAAGTTAACTGTTCTGAAAGCACCAAAAACTCATGAAATGTATACTGGTGGTTTTATTTGTTTAAATACCGTTTTTTTTTTTTAAAGTTAAAAAAAATTAAATTGAAGCTGTGATGTAAGGTTGTAAACGAGCCTCACTGTTAACGAGATGATGAGATATCACTGCACAAGTACATGTCTTCTATGTATGTTCTTGCTATGGGACCAAGTACAGCCCAATGACTTGGCAAAATACAAAGTCTGACAGAATGACATATTTTTCAGTACTGTTTTAGTTTAAGATTGACTCACAATAAAAGTATATTGTAATAAAAGAGTATTATGCTTACGTTAGCAGAAATGGTTTTAAAAAACAAAAAACAAAACCAAAACAAATACAAAACAGAAATAAGGTAAATCTGTCCTTTTCCACCAGTCAAGAGGTTGAAAACAAGAAGCAGAAGTGGTATCAGTTTCGATTAGTTAAAAAAAAAAAAAAGACAATAAATAAATAAACATCCAATGAGCAGAACTGTTACTGTAAATACAAAAGTAAAATAAGACCAAAGATTTCCTTTCTTTAAGTGATTTGTTGCCAGGAAAACAATGTGAAATTCCGAATTTTGTTATACAAGGACTTTATAAGATTTGCTGCGTTTTTATTGTTTCTCCAAATGATAGTAATTTACCGCTCTGCTTAATTTTATACTGTCATACTGTGATGCAGTCAAGATGGTTTCTTTTTCAACCAAATAATACTTTTTACTTTATAAATTCATTACTGCTACTGCAACGGAATATATTTGATCAAATTCGGTAACTTTTTAAGGTTTCTTTTGGCTAACTAAAGAAAAAAAAAACAAAGAAAAAATATAAACAAAATAAAAATGTGGTTAAGCCACAGTCTACATAAATTATTATAAGGACCCCAGAAAAAAAATATATAATAACTAAAAAAGAACTTATTTGTTAACTGCAATATGTGATATTTAAAATGAATTATTTGACAACACAAATGCATGTTGTTATAACTTGTAATACTGATGAGACTGGAGAAGGAAACTCTCATTATATAAAATACAATGAAAACACTTTCAGCCCTATCTACAATATTACTAAAATATTTTGCTGTTGCTCTCCTGTGAGTTTCACAAAGCATTTTACACACTTACTTAAGTCTTTTTCAAGACCAACATTTATGTTACAAACTGATTTCTGTGTTCAACTCCTTTCTAACGTATTTAAAATTCAATTCTTACTTTAATCTACTAAATTCTTATGGGGGGAAAAATACATCAATATTTCATACTTAACTCTTTGA